AATGGAAGAGCTTTGACGCAGAAGGGGGTCACCAGGGCTGGGGACGCCACAGAAGCCTCCTTAGACCTGAAAACACACCGAGCCTCTGTGGACAAAAGTGTAGAGCACAGCACCTTCCTCCGTGGGAGAAGACCACGTGACCAAGGTGCCACGCCCTCAACTGTCCACACAGCCCACTAGTCCTAACCCGAGCACAAACAGAGCTTCCCGTGGGAACCCCATCCCAAACCACCTCACTGACCCCAAGTCGCCACACGACACCCAGGACACTTCTGGAAAGAGGAAGGCACTCCCAGTCCAGAACCCAGAGTGTGGGTGAGGGATGTATCTGCCAACAGAACCCCAAAATGAGCTCAATCCCCTCCCAACTGCCGGGATGAGCCAGCAACTGTCACAGTCCGACACACATGCATGGTTATCTGAGCCCAGAGGCTGTCAGATCTACTGGACAGGAGGGAGCTGCCCAGCTGCGCTCTGCGTGGAAACGACAGAGGGGCTGTTTTTAAAACTCACCCCAACGCTTTCTCCTGGGTGCCCACCCTGGCTCCACAGCCCCCACCAACGGAAGTTCCACTGCCTGAGGACAACTCCCACACAACCTCTCTGCCCGCACAGCCCTCCGGTCTCTTGACACCAGTGCACGTCCCGCCCTCCACTCTGGACAGGAGCACCCCCACCAGTATCTGGCCCACACAGCATACAATGAGGAGCAAGTGGGACCCACAGTGGGAGTCAGGTTCCAACCGCTCTGTGATTTCCACCCGCCCTGAGTGAAGTCCAGCAAGCCCCAGCCCAGCCCCACCCACCCTCTTCCCGCCAACCTGTCCCTCCCAGCCTCCAAGTTCCAGATCCTCCCTGGCTTCTTTCCGATCACTTCCTGACTGGCAGCCTCTTTGGCTTCACCAGGCACATGCTGCCCAGCCCCTCTTTCTGGACATGGCCCCTAGAGTGCTGGGCCCAGGTCAACTCTGGGCCCTGGAGCAGAGCCTGCCAAGAGTAGGCTTTGGGGTTCCAGGCACCCGGGGTGCAAGCACGCACGGGACGGGCTCTGGTCGACGTCGCCACTGAAAGCATGAGGTGCACGCTCGAGAGCCAGGGGGCATCCAGATGTGTACAAGGTGCCCCCTGCCTTGCTGTTCACCCATCCAGGTAGGAAAACAGCCACCTCTGCAGGCGGATGGGGCAGTCCACTCTACCCACTGCCTGGTTACCTCAGTCCTTCACTGTGCAACAGGGTGACACCTCGGTGCCAGCTGGGGCCAGACTACAGACCCCCAGGGACCTGCCTCCTGAGAACAGGCCAGGCTGCCTGAGGAAGGCACCCCACCATCGCAAGCACTTGGGGGGCTGCCTCCGGGGGTCCTAATGCCAGGTTCGCACCTCCTACAGTGGACTGAACCAAACATGATGAGCCAGAAAACCTCCAGCCCCGGACGCCCCGACAGTTGAGTCTGGGAGAGAAGAGCAGAGTGGCCTCACGTGTGTCCCCTCTGCAGAAGGACGGAGCGCGGGCCCCTCCTCCCCGAGCAGGTGGTCCTACCACCCGGGGACCAGCGTGCTTGCAGGCCTGCCCGCCCCGGGCCCAGCCTCACCTGCCGCTCTCCTCCTTCACAGCCCCAAGAGTGGCCGGCCGGCCGGCCCTCCCCAGGGGCTCCTGCGTTTTGTCGCCTGTGTCCAGCTCGGGCTCCAGAGATGAGCTGGTGCTGCCGTCCCGGCTGACGCTGCTGGCCCGCCCGGGGCTGCTCTCTGCCGAGGCTCGAGGGGACTCGGTGTTCTGCTTCAGGGTCTGCAGCTTGGCCAGGGGGATGATGTCGCAGTCCTGCGGCCGGTGCCACACTGTGCGCTGCGTGGTGGCGTTGTAGTAGTAGAAGCGAGATGTGTTGGGGTCGAAGAGCTCCCACCACTGATTCTCGCTGGTGCGCTTGATGCGCACGCCGGCCGGGGGGTCCCATACACACTCGCCGGTGACAAGGTTGGCGTACATGCGCTCTCGTGTGCGCGGCTCGATGATCTCCACCCACTCCAGCCTGCAGGATCAAGGGCAGCGTCAGCAGCAGGACGCGGGGCTGGGGGCCACACCACCCACCCTGCACCCCGCTGGCCCCTCCCTGCCAGCCATCCTGCCCAGCCTGCCCAGCACCCCTTGTGTGTAGACCGGCTCACCCAGCGCCAGACTCATTCTTGCATCTCCCAGACTCTAAAGCAAGAAATCTCGTCACTTGTAAAATAAAACCAATGAAAACCACAGTTCCACCCCCGATTTTCTAAGCGCTCATTGGGCCCAGCCCTGCACTGGCCTAGGGTCTTGGGACTGGTCCTCTCTGCTGGCCACGTCTGGAGAGGATGTCCTGGCTGCTCTTAGCTGTGGCCACTGTGGGCCACCACCACCTGTCCACCAGCAGCAGGAGTGGACGCCACCACCACTGCACCGTCCTGGTTAGAAGGGGCTTCAGGTCCAGCAGAGCTGGTTCCTCCCAGAGGCCCCTGCGGGCCCCCTGCCCTGAGAACATGACTTCCATCCAGGTAAGGCTTTTAAAAAAAAAAAGGATAACTTGCACAACATTATAAACTGCCTATAACTCAATTAAAAAAAATAACTTGGAAAACAATGTAGATTACAGCTATTTATAATAACAAGGCATTTTAAAGTCGATGTGTTTGATACTAGGGTGTGCTCCAGTTGACAACTAGTGTATTTTTACTGTGTCCAAGTTTCCACACAAACAGCAATCCTTTAAATGCCACAGATTGCTCTGCAATGTGGACACACTGTGTCCACTGTTCCCTGACTCTGTGACGGGCCCAGCCTCCACCACTGACCTGCCCCTCGTGCAGAAATGTGCTTCCCAGCTGCCCTGCGGCACTGAATGGACCAGCAGGGAAGGGCCTTGCTTCCCTCCTAGACAGAGCATTTGGCCCTCCTGCCTGGAGCACCCTTGACCATTGGCTGGCCATTCTCCACACTGAGGACTGAGCAAACTTCTAAACTTCGGAAGTGGGTACTTTAACTGAGAAACTGTGGCTGCTCGCACTGCCTTCGGATGAAAGGCCATCCCAGCACAACGCAGGGCCCTCAGCCTTCCATGGTGGCCAGCACTGCTCACGGGGAGCCCCTCGCACTGTGGCCAGAGAGCACCAAGAGCCCCACTGGGCCAGAAGGACAGCGGGCACACTGCCCGAGGGTTCCTCACCACAGGGATGAAGACAGGAGGCCCCCACAAAAGCGCCTGGAGGCAGAGGCCTGGGGACCAAGCCAGGAGCTGTGCTCTTGGTCACGGGAAGAGGGACACCCTGAGGGTTCTGGACAGATGGGCTGACTGGCGCAGACAAGAGCAGAGGCGTCGGGAAGGCTGGCGGGGCTGGGAACAGTGTCCAAGGGTCCCCAAGGCAACTGTGGCCCCCACCTCAGTCCTCACCAGCCACCTGCTCTCCATCCAGTAGAACAGAGGGCATACACGGCCCCAGGAAGGGCCATTCCCACAGAGACGCTCGGAGAACTGGACCGAACATTCTGAGCCCCAAAGAACTAAGAACAATTCTTATTTCTGCCTTAAACACACTTTCAAATAAATTTAATGGTTACAATTCTCTCTGAATAAAGAACAGCATGTTTCCTTTCAGCATGCTGGATGTGCATGTGGGCAGGGCCTGCCCCCCACAGCACCGACCCAGACCCCCAGGGACCCAGGACTCCCCACAGCCCCGACCCAGAGCCCCAGAGACCCAGAACCCCCACGGCACTAACCCAGAGCCCCGGGGACCCAGGACCCTCCACGGCCCCAACCCAGAGCCCCGGGGACCCAGGACTCCTCATGGCACTGACCCAGACCCTCGGGGACCCAGGGCCCCCACGGCACTGACCCAGACCCTCGGGGACCCAGGACCCCCCATGACACTGACCCAGACCCTCGGAGACCCAGGACTCCCCATGGCACTGACCCAGACCCTCGGGGACCCAGGATCCCCCATGGCACTGACCTAGAGCCCCGGGGACCCAGAGCCCCAGGGATGCAGGGTCGGGGATTACGCTGGGACCTGGGGACAGCAGGGCGGGACCAGCAGTTCTGTGCAGATTGGAGAAAACGTGCCTCATCCTAGGGTCTGTGCTGTCCACGCCCAGCTCCCAGTCAGTGGGGACTGCATGGTACAAGGATACAGGGTCCCCAGGAGCGTGATGAAAACAGTGCTGACAAATTTGACCCTCCCATTAAAATTATGGTTTTAAAATATGAATAAATAAACACTGAGTGGGGAAAAAAATGGTGCTAAAACTTCCCCTGGGGGCTTCACTGCCAGGAGGAGGGGTATGGACCTGCTGGTGACGGACTGACTGACTGCGGCGGCCCAGCCACACCCTTACAGCTGGGTCTGAGAAGACTTATTTGGCAATAGTATCTAAAATGAACTTGGAAGGAAAGAATAAGCCACCTGGGGACAGTGGTGGAAGGATACAAGATGACGCAGTTTCACAGCTGTGACGCAGGTGGGGGTGTCACACAGGGTGGCTGCGTGGCACCTGGGGCTGCAGCCTCTCCCCAGTGCACTGGGCATGCTGCTTACCAATGGATCTGTCTCTTTCCCTAGAATCTTGGAGACATTTACTTGCTGACAATGATCTGTTCACGTATTTATTTCCCAGAACAACCTACTGAGTGCCAAGTAGGCACCAGGTCACCAGGTGGTCCACCAGGTGAAAGGGAGGCAAGTGCGGCCAAGCACATCCCCTGCCCTACAGACATCCCACAGGGGCACAGGGACCGCTCCCTGGGAAAGGCTAGTCTCTTCAACAAATGGTGCTGGGCAGTTGGGGATCTACAGACAGACGGGCAAGGCTGGGCCTCGCCTCACACCACACACGAAAGCTAACTTAGGGTGGACCAAAGGTCTAACTGTAAGAGCTAAACTATAAAACTCTCAGAAGGAAACATAGAGGTAAACCTCTGTGACTCTGGATTTAGCCATGGATCCTTAGACCTGATACCAGAAGCACAAGCAACAAAACAAAAATAGATAAACTGGACTTGACCAAAATTAAAAATTTTTGTGCTACGAATAATACCATCAAGAAAGTGAAAAGACATGTACAGATATCTGCAAATCACATGTCTGATGAGGGACTGGTGTCCAGAGCACACACAGAACTCTTACAGCCCAGTTTAAAAATGGAAAATCTGAACAGGCATTTCTCCAAAGAAGAGGTACAAAGAGCCAACAGCACATAAAAAGGTGGTCACCCTCACAAGCAGTCAGGGAGAGGCATAGCGACCACAGTGAGACCACGCATGCCCACAAGCTGGCTGGAGTCATAATATTTTAAGTCATGTCAGCAGGTGTTGGAGAGGATGTGGAGCAACTGCAACCTCTTTGTACTGCTGGCAGGACGTAAGATGTTAGTCCACTTTGGAAGAGTCTGCGGCTCCTCACCAAGTTCAACACAGAGTTACCATGTGAGTCTAGCCCTCCTGCTCCTAGATGTCCACCCACGGCACACAGGAACAGGTCCACACAGGACCTGCACATAAATGTTCACAGCAGCATTATCTATGCACAGCCAACAGGAGGAGCGAACCCCATGTCTATCCCCTGATGAGTGGGTAAACAAAGTGTGCTATACCCACACACTGGAGTGTCATACGGCTATGAAGAGGAAGCCCTGACACAGGCTACAGCATGGATGAACCCTGAAAACATTATGCTCAGTGAAAATGCCAGATACAAAGACCACTACTGTGTGTTTACATTTATTTAAACTGTCCAGAACACACAAATGGAGAGAGAAGGTAGATTAGTGGCTGCCAGGGGCTGGGGGAGGGAATGGGAAGGACTGCCAATGGGAAGGGGTTTCTTTGTGGGGCGGTGAAAGTGTTCAGACGTACATAGGATGGTTGCACAACCTTGAAAGCACTAGAGACACTGTATACTTTGAAGAGTGAATTTCGAGGCAAGTGAATTATGCCTCGCTTTAAAAAGGACTGCCATTGGCAGGAGCCCAGCAGGCATAGGGCGGCAGGTGGGGCGCTCGCTGCAGGGAGCAGAGAGGGGCTGGGGCTTCATGAAGGATAGTGGGTGTCTGGGACCAAGCACGCACACCAGTCAGTGCCACTGGGACAAGCACAGAGGCCGAGGGGCAGCACTGACCCGTGGGCTCCAATTGGAGTCAGACCCAGACTGAGCGAGGCACCTCACACCCAGGACCCTGGGCCCCGCAGCCCTCGGCTGCCGGGCCTGCTCAGCATCAGCACCACCACCATGCACACCTGCTCCTGCACACTGTCTGCAAACGATGCGACGGGCAAGGGACTAATTTCCGAAACGTACAAACAGCTCATACAACTTAATAATAAAAAAAAAAAAGTAAAATGGGCAGAAGACCTCAACAGGCATTTCTCCAAAGAAGACATCCACATGGCAAACAGGCACATGAAAAGATGCTCAACATCGCTAATTGTTAGAGAAACACAAATCTAAACTACAATGAGGTATCATCTCACACTGGTCAGAATGGTCATCATCAAAAAGTCTACAAACAACAAATGCTGGAGAGGGTGTGGAGAAAAGGGAACCCTCCTACACTGTTGGTGGGCATGTAATTTGGTGCAGTCCTTATGGAAAAGAGTACAGAGATTTCTTAAAAAACTAAAAATAGAGTTACCATATGATCCAGCAATTCCACTTCTTGGTGTCTGTCTGGAGAAAATTCTAAGTCAAAAAGATACATGCACCCCAATGTTCACAGCAGCACTATATACAATAGCCAAGACATGGAAACAACCTAAGTGTCCATCGACAGATGATTGAATAAAGGAGCTGTGGTGTATTTATACAATGGAAAACTATTCAGTCATAAAAAAAGAATGGAATAATGCAGCAACATGGCTGGACCCAGAAATCATCATACTAAGTGAAGTCAGAAAAAGAAAGACAAATATCGTATGATATCACTTATATGTGGAATCTAAAAAAACTGGCACTAAGGAACTTATTTACAAAACAGAAACAGATTCACAGGCACAGAAAACAAACTTAGGGTTACCAGTGGGGAAAGTGGGGAATAAGGATAAAACAGAAGTTTGGGATTTGCAAATACATACTACTATACATAAAATAGATAAACAAGGACCTACTGTGTAGCACAGGGAACTATATTCAGTATCTTACAGTAACCTATAATGATAAAGAATATGAAGAAGAATATATATATATATATATATATACATATATATATATATAAAAAACTGAATCACTTTGCTGTACTCCAGAAACTAACACAACATTGTGAATCAAAAGATTTGATGGGGCACAGTATACTTCAAATGGTAGACTGCATGGTTAGCATGCACAAGGTCCTGGGTTCAATCCCCGGTACCTCCAATGAAAAAGTAAATAAATAAACCTAATTACCTCCCCCCTGCAAAAAAAAAGTAATAAAATAAAAAGATTAGGGTTTTCTGGACACATTTGGTGAAAATGTTAAATATTTGCAATATAAATTATAGATAAAAGGTTCATAACCTTAATATATAAATTTGAACAAGGAAAAAACCAAAAATACTATAGAAAAATGGGAAAAAGATAAGAACAGACAATCACAAAGTGGGCAAAAGTTCACATGGAAAAAGTTCCACTTCACCTGGCGTCGGACATAAAGCCCAAGCCACAGTGAGGCTGGCTGCCCCCAGGCGTCTGTCTCATCTGGTCCGGCCCGTCCTGGGAGGCTGTGGCAGACAGAGGGCACACACATGGGCACAACGGCACAACGTCTCCAGCCCAGCAGCCCCTCCTGGGTTCCCTGCAGACACGCCCCCAACAAGACAAAGCAACTGCAGAGTAACCGCCGCCACCAGGTAGCTGCAAAGGACAGGGGGGCCTCCGGACAGAAACCCAGGAGGTACACCTGCAAACCGACCTGCAAGGAATGGGTGGGGGTGCAAGAGGGTCTCTGATAGTTTTGTCTTTTAAAACATGTTCATAGTCTACATGTTTATAAAACAAAGTGAATCAGTATGATTGGAAAGCGAGAGAGAAGAACCTCAAACTGAAACAAATGAACCCAACGGCACTCCAGTTAACGTAATAACCACAACAGGAAGGGAAAAGAAAATGAATCCAGGCCGCCAGTGAAGAGGACTAGACTCCATTCCTGCTCTTGGGTGGAGTGTGCACGGGGGCTGTGTGCAAATAAACCCCGAATTTTTAAGTAATTTTGGACACACTTTCAGATGACACTCCTGCGAGCAGGGCTCTCCTGCAGGAAAAGGATGACTGTAATGGGACACGGCAAGAAGATGCCCTGGGAAGGGGCTGGTGTTGGTGTGAATGAGCATCTCTAATGTGCTCTGTGTCCACATGTGTGTGCTCATGAGCACATGCTTTCTCTGTCTGCTTACAGGGCCAGGAAGCAGACACACTGCCGGAGCCACGAGCACACAGAGCCCCTACTCTGGTTCTGAGACAGTGTGTGCCCTCAGGAAGCAGGTCCCCTCAGACAAACGGCTGACGACGGGAAGGGGGCAGAACAAGATGCAGCCCGTGAACTGCAGGAGGGAGGCTCCCAGAGTCACGGGGGCCAGCCTGCGGGCACCCCGGCCCGCCCTGGGTAGCATGGGCACCAAATAAGTAAGTGCGGGGTGAAAACAAAGGGACCCGGGAGCAGGAAGAGGGAAGGGGCTCGGCTTGCGGGATGCAGGATACACGATGTGGGACGCTGATGGCAGCCCTGGAATCAGTGCTGTGGTTGGGAAGCTGGCATTCTGCACCCGCCCAGGGAAGCCTGGGTCTCGTAAGAAACCGTCAGAGCACCAAACCTGGGGAGGAGCACGGTGGTGGGGAAAGCAGCTACTGTCCGGAGAGAGCAGACAAGTGCAGACAGCCACTGCCGGCACTCTCCTAATAAATCATCAGACAAATCAAACTGAGGGCTCTGTTGCAACAAAGGCGACTGTTACCTTAAAAAGTGTCCGTGTCACAAAAGGCAGAGAAAGGAAGTGGAAATCTTCCAGGTCACAAAAAGTAAAAGTGATGTGTGCAGATGAGAGCCACTGGGTGAGCTGTGCTGGAGGGGCCGGGAAACATGAGGACGGCAGGGAACCTGCTGCCCAAGCAGGCCCCGACGGCCCAGGGCCGAAGCCTGTCAGCACAAGTGCCCACGGTGACCTGACCCGGGGGACTCAGCAAAGGCTGGGCCGGACACGCGAGGCCCACCCGAGGACACTTAGCACAGCTCATGTGTGGAGGGAGGGGAAGCACACCACAGACACCAGGGGAACCCAGGCAAAGGTGTTTGGAGCACCCTTCCTATCCCTGCAACTTGGTGAGTTATTCCCAAAGAAAGCTATGAATCAGAAAAATCAAAATGATCTTCTGTGGCTTCTTCCTTGGCATGGATCCATGCCCAGTGGCATGAGGAGCGGGACCAGGCCACCGGCAGACAGGGAGTCCAGCCCAGGCAGCCAAGTCCCCTGGCCCGAGGAGAAGCCCTCCTTCTGCAGCACGTCCACCACAGGAGGTGGGACCACCTGGGGACTGTGCTTCCACAGGGACACCAAATTCAGAAGGAGCACCAATCACTCGGGAAAGGAAAGCGGTGCCGGGCACAGGTGAGCAGGTGGGACAGCTGACCAGTGGAGACACCTCTGAAGGAAGAAAGGGCTCCTCCTGCTTTGCTGGTCCCCTGGCACCCCTGCCTCACCTGGTGCTCGATCCTGGAATCCGAGACTCCGGCCCGCCAGCATGATGGCTCTCGCATTCGTAGTCCTGTGTCTGGGACATGGCAGCCTTCTCCCGAGGACCCAGGTGGACGGACATCAGCAGGTCATTGGGCAGGACGCCCCTCCAGCATCAGTCAGGAAGGTGCCGCCCTGCGAGAGAGCAGAAATCTGTAAGCACATAAGTTCGGAAAACATCTCACCACGCCTTTGGGTTTGGGGAACCAGTGACAGCCCAGCCCAGCCCCTCACAGCCCAGGTCACCAGCAAGATTGAGGCACACCCAGGCCAGAGCCAGCCTCCCAGCTCCCCGAGTCCCAGCCAGCCCTGGGCAGTGCACCTAGGCCCCCTGCCCACCAGGCCTGGGCAAGCCTCCTGCCACCTTTGAGAGCAGACTCTCTGCCTGTCAAACCCAGGCAACACCACCTACTTGGCGCTACCATGTCCACGTGCGAGTAGCACATGGCACGCCTCCGACTGGTCACACTCGAGGGTCGTTGGCACGCGCAGGCCACCTGACTGAGGACAGGCACTATGCTGACGTGATGCACGTACAGGAGAAAGAAGCCCTGACGCCACCCTCCAGTGCAGCACACTCAGTTCCCAGGAACTTCAGAGCTGAACGTTGAAAGTAAAGTAAGGCTTTTAGGAAAAATGCAGAAAAAAATCTAGTGGTCTTACAGTAGGTGCAGATATCTTAACCAGACACAAAAAACACTTACCACAAAGGAAACAATAAATTGGACTATGACATTAAGGACCTCTGTTTATTGGTGTTTGTTTTGCCATTGTGAATAAAAAGACAAATTCAAGGTGGGAGGCATTTGCTGCATAGAATATGTACAATACGATATATACGTGTGTGTACATATGTGAGCTGACAAAGGACCATTTACAGAACACAAAAATTCCTAAAAGAAAAAAAAAGATAATCCAACAGAAAAAAGGACAAAAGACTTTAACATACATTCACAAAAAAAAATGTCTAAATGGCTAATAAACACATAGAAACATGCTCAGCCTTTCAAGTAGTGTCTCTGTGACATGAGTTGTCACAGAGACATTACTTGAAAGTGTAATGGAGTACTAGCCTGTCCCTAAAATGGCTGAAATGGAAAGAGCCTATCCCACGCTGACAGCAGTGTGGGGCCACTGGGGCTGTGGGACACGGTGTGGCCCACTGTGACGCGGTCGGCCGTGTCTCTGCTGTGTTGCACATACGCTGCAGCCTTGCGTCCAGGGCTGCCACTGCCAGCGTGGGGGCCGCCAGGAGTACACACGTCAGTTCACCAAGACGTGCACACAGCATTCCCACCCTGCAGCAGGGTGTTCTCCCCAGCAGAATGCACACTCAAAATGCAGGCAGGGGTCACCCCCGGTGGGTCACTCAAAAGTGCACGGAGGGGTCACCCCCAGTGGACATTCAAAGTGCAGGAAGGGGTCACCCCCAACAACCTGGGTGTAGCTCCCAGGGAGTGAGAGGCAGAAGCCAGACACAGTACGACTCCCTCACAAAAGCTCCAGGTCCGGCATGCTGAGGCCCTGCTGTTAGAAATCAGAAGCAGCCCCTCAATGCCAGGTGGGGACAGGGGCAGAGCTGCTGTGGCACGAGTGCTGGTGACAGATGCTCTCGGAGTTCCATGCCACTGCTTCCACAAGCACATGCCTCACTTTAGTAAAGCATTCGAAGAAATGCGGAGCAGGCACATCCCCGGGGCTCCCCGTCCCCACCTGCTGGTGTCAGGACAAGGACCCCTGGAAGAGGCTGGTCCACCAATCCTAACTGTGCTACTCGAAGGGAGAGAAAACCAGTTTAGGGCACAAGGTGGTGACACAGCTGGCCAAGGGTCCAAGGCGAAGAGACACTGCAGGCCCATCAGACACCCTGGCTAAGGCCCAGACGGACTCAGCACCCAGGTCCAGCCTGACTCAGTCGGCTCAGAAGCTGGAAGGTGCTACCCTGCAGGAAGTGCTGCCAGTCTTCTCCTTCCTGCCACTCACAGAGCCACAAAGACTACTAGGAATGCCATTTTTTTTAAAGGGAAACAAAAACTAACACAACACTGTCAATCAACTACTCTTCAATTAAAGAAAAGAAAATAAAAAAGTGAAACAAGTATTGACTTTCTTGTACGGCGTCAATATTAAAAACAAAAAATTAAAACACACAGCGTTAGTGAAATTTTGAAAAACTAAAAGGTACTACCCTAACCTGAGAGCAGCTCAAACCAACCTCCTCTACCTGCTCGTCCGGCAGTCCTCAGCCGCCTGCCCTGGCTCATCTGGAGCAGCAAGGCCGCCGCCTCGGACACATCGGTGCGCTCGGTGTCTGTGGGTCAGCTCCTGACAGCCTCCTCACACCTGGGACGGACACCTCACCTGGGTGGGCCAAAAAGTCCTGGGCCTGAAATCAGGCAGGGTTAGCCCTCCGACTGCACTCTTCATTTTGGAAGTTGTTTTACTTTTCCAGGTCCTCTGCATTTTCATACAAATTTCAGAATCGGCTTCTCAGTTTCTACAAAACTGCCTGTATCCAGTCTACACACTAACACGAGGAAAACAAGAGACACAGTGATTCTGAGCCCCCCGATCTGCTAACCTGGTCAGCTCTCCATTAGTCACAACAGTTTCCTTCAGCCACGCTTCGTAGTTTTTAGTGTAGAGATCTTGCATATATTTAGTCAAATTTACCTATATTTCATATTTTTGATGCTAAGAAATATATAAAACAATTTCCAATTGTTTGTTACTAGTACAGAAATATATAGTTTTTGCATATTGGTCTTTGTACCTGTAACCGTGCTAAACTCACTTATTCTAATTGCTCCCCCCACTTCAAGTTTCATTAGAATTTCTACATAGACAACCACGTCAAGCGTGAACATAGTTTCGCTTCTCCCTTTCCAATACGGGTGATTTCTTTCTTTTTCTTGCCTCACTGCAGTGGCTGGAACCACCATGAAGATGCTGGACAGGACAGTGAGAGGGGACAGTGCCTCACCCCGACCCTAGGGGAAGCAGCCAGTGTTTCACTCTTGAGCATGATGTTAGCTGTAGGTGTTTCATAAATGTCCTTTGTCTAGCTGAGGAAATTTCCTTGAATTCTTAGTTTGCTGAAGTTTTGAAAATTAGCAATGGGTATTGAATTTTGTACATTTTTACCATGTCTACTGAAATGATCGCATGACTTTTCTTTTTTTGGTTTGAGAACAGCTGGATCCTTCTGATCAATTTTCTAACATTAAACCGGTCCTTGGACAAATCCCAGCTGGTTGTGATATACTGTCCTTTTTATGTATTGTTGCATTGGATTTACCAAATTTTTATTGAGAATCTCTCTGGGAGACTCAGTCTTTCCCAGCAGCAGCCATCCCCTCGTTTGCTGTTGCGGGTGGGGCTCATGTTTGTCACCGTCTTTGTCTTTGACCCCTCAGCTCTGCAGCTCACTCCCCAACTCCTGCCATCCTGTCTCTTCTCTGAGCCCCTCTCTATGAATTTTCAGTGTTGTGCTCCCTCCGCTTCCTGGGTTTGCTCTTCTCCTGCTGTTGATGCTCATCCCTCCCTCCCTCTCCTTCAGTGTCTACGTGAGGGGCCCACGTGGTTCCTGGTCACTGCTCATCTAAAAATAAGGGAAGGGCCAGGGCTAAGCGAGGGGCCTCCCACCCAGTGTGTCGTTCTAGGATGCTCTTCTGCCACATTTCTTTACAGGGTCTGCTCTGGAAATGAGTTTCTGGTATTAGGATATTTTTGGGTTGCAACTGACAGAAACTCAACTCAAATGGAAGACAGAGCAGTCTGCCCCTCGCAGCACAGGACAGCCTGTAGTCCCAGGAGCACCGGGCCCTCGTCTGTGCTCTGCTCAGGCTGGCTCCCTGCACCATGCAAGCAACACCCCCGGCCTTGGCCAGCAGTTTCTTCCCGCTGGTTCCAGCAAGAGTCTCCCGGTTTCTGAGTGACCACTGGGGCCTCGGTCTCAGTCGTGCTGCGAGGGGCAGGTGGGAAGGTGGCTCCATGGCCTGCGGGAGCCCTTCCGGGGTGATGTCCACCTGCCCGCAGGTAGCTCACCGCAAGGCGAGTCCCAGGAGGGCAGAGGCCAGTTCTCAGCCCCCACAGCAAGCAGGTTGCAGGCCCAAGGCACTGCCAGAGGCCAGCACTGGCACAGGGAGTGCCATCCCCTTTCCTTCCCCTCTACCCCCCTGGAGAGGGTGTGGCTGGGGCAGCTGGGTCTCCCTCCTCCAGCTCCTCTCTCATCAATGCCCATCCAAACCACAGACCTTCTCCCACCAAGCAAGTGTCGCCACCGGGGCCCCTGAAAATCTTCTGTTGGGGGAACCCAACCCAACCCGACCCTGCTGGCAGCGCTGGCTCCTCTTCCCCTCTGCCCAACAGCCTCCTCCCGCTGTGCTGTCCCTTAGACTCATGGTGGATTAAATCCTGTTCCTTCTCTTCATTCTTTTTGTCCATTTCAGTGAGTTTCAGGGAGGCAAGTGGAATAAACAAGTCTCTACCCGGCCATCACTTGCTGAAGGCCTACGTTTCACTCTCAATGCTGTTTTTAATAAGTTTTCCAAGTTCTGAACAATGAGTCCGTCTCAGCTTCACGTTCTGAAAGCCCGGCTCTGAGCTGGAGGCACAGAGCCCCATTCTCCCCCGCAGCAAGGGCCAGACTGGCTCAACCACACCCGCCGCCTGCAGCGTGCACACTGACACCCCGTCCAGGGGAGGGGCCTCGCTGTCAGGGTTAAGATCGTGACCCAGCCCACTAGCAAGTCACGGAATCCACCACGGGGCAGAACCAGCTTCTCAGACCTTTCTGCGGAAGGGCGTCGAAGAAAGGACACTGCTGTTTGGAGTTGCCTGGACACCACAGACTGTGGGTCCTGGGGGCCGCTGCCGCTCAACGTGCTGGAAAGCTGCTGCTGTGAGGACAGCACTTGACCTCTGGCCTTAAGGTCACATGACGGGCAAGCAGGACACACAGACCTGCTATGCTTACCCGTGGTGGGCATGCCTCCCTCACCAATAAGCTGCACCAGGGCCCCTGCGGGCTATTTAGAGAGAACAAAATCTCTACCGTTTAGCAGCCAGTGGCCGGGACACAGGAGCTGGGCTGTGACACCCATGTCCTTCCCAAAACCCTCCACCAGCACAGC